TGTTTTGGAAATCCTAGTTCCTAGTGGTCAGTCAGTTGATGGAATGTTTTAGGGTTTTGAGTGCTCCACGAGTTCCTACAGTTGGCGCGACTTGTTGGCCGGCACAAAGACCTTCGCCTTCGAGTATATGCGGATGTCCTCCTCAACGATAGTCAACTCCCTGTCGATCTCCGCCTTGCGGTTTTGCACCCGCAAAGTCTGTGCGGTCATGGGCATGTGATTTAGCTCATTGACGAGCTGTTCGTAGCCTGTTAAATACCCTGGCATTAGCATGTTTCTTTCTTATAATAATCTCACTAACTCACGTTTCTTGGCATTGGTAAGATGGGTCAATCGATCCTGATCGCTAAGCACTACATGACCACGGGGACAGTCGGGGTCCTGCGAGTCAGCCAGTTGCTTGGCCACGGCCTTTTCGCGTTTCTGTTTCTCCAAGTAACGCGGCAAGCGCACCTCATCCCGAGCTGTCAAAAGAATAATACTTCATTTAGTTACTTTACTTTATAGTAATTAAATTTGAATTATCAAAGTTATACCCCGTTTAATTTTTAAGGTGTATTTTAAAAAAGGAATGTTAACTGTGTATTACTTTTGATGGTTCAAACTACAAGCGTTATTGCAAAGACCTTTTGAACTAGAAAACAACTAGGGAAACAGTTGGGTTAAATAGAAGGAAACTAAATTATCTTTAAAATGTGATTAGCCTGATTTTTTAGTATAGCTTTTTTAGTCAAGCTAGCAGCAAAAATATGGAGAACGAAACTTGGCAAGGATATGCTTAGTTATGAAATAATTACTTTCATATCTAGCAATATGTTGAGAATTCGATACGAAATTTTGTGGTGCTTTTTTTAGAAATAAGTTAAGGTGATAAGTATACTCACATCCCAGCTTGTGCTCACGACGCTTTGACTTAGAAGTGATGGTGGTGACATTGGAGGCCGTTGTGAAGCGACTGCGGGCACTGAGTGGTGCCTCATCGTCCGAGGCGCCGTAGTTCATTGGCTCAGTCTCGCCAATAGGCATGGCCTCCATTTCGGACATGTGGAAGCGGCTCTGCTTCGAGGAGTTTGAGCGCGCTGAAAGCGGCAGCTGTTCCAAATCCTTCTCGTTTTCATAGCGCATAGGGTTATAGTTATCGTCGTACTTTGTGCGTGGATCCTCCATCACAGATTGACTATCAAAGTTGCATCTGGGGAATAGACAAACTCTTTAGGTACGTATTGTTTAAGGTCTGGCCCACGGAATCTTACTTTTTAAGTGCATTTGTGAGATAAAGTTCGTCAGTTATGTCCTCGGTCTGAATGCCGATGCTGGTGAAGCTGCGATTGGTGCCGCAGGATAGGCAGCGATCCGAAGATGGGTCGGATGAAGGCTCTGGGATATGGTCGACCTCGAATTCCTCCGAGGGGTCGTATAGAAGGGGATCGCGCTCCTCCAGGCCATCGAAGCGTTCACCATCCGCCGGAATGGCCACCGCCAGTTGGTGCTGGGAACGGGAGTTGCTGCGTGTGTTCTGCAACGAGTTCTGTTGTGCAGGCTTGCCCCTGGCCGGTGGCTTGTCCGCTTTTGAGTCCCCCACCTCGGAGGAAGTGCGGCGCAGCGGTGGCATCCATTTCGGACGCACCGGCTCCTTGGCGGCCAACTTCTGGCTGGTGGACTTCTCCAGCGAGCGCAGGCTTACTTTGTTTTCCTTGAGAAAGTTTCTGGACGGTGTGGGGCCTGTGGGATTCGAGACCAAAACAAATTACAAATTGGTTGCCAGGGCCGACTGACCTGTTTGGAAAAGATTCTTACGCGGCACCGAAAAGATGCCCTTCAGCGTGGGAATGGGGCGAACTGAAGTGTTAGACATGGTCCACCAGCTCCGGACTACCAGCTATGCGTCTTAAATTGTATAAATCGGCTGTAGACTAGGCGAGTGGAAACTGCGTCGTTATGTGTGGAGTACAGGACAGGTTTGAATGACAGTTTTGAACCAGCTGCTTGTGATTGTGCCTGCTCATCGATACTCGATTATGTATCGAATACCTATCGGTTTTGGGGTCGGTGGTTGCGCATGGTCACTCTTGACAGTACTAACGGTATTCAGAGCTCAGATATTGCTTAACATATTTTAAGGAATGAAAATAAAAGAATGGAATGATACAAAAAATGTTAAAAAATAAACCTCTTTCTTTAATAAAAAATAGGTGGGTTTTTAATTATTTAGTCGAACAAATATTTAGGTTTGCGAATAATACATTTGTTTCCACCTACAGTATAATATTTCTGAACAACCAACCTTATAATAAGTCCTTAGTTCTGTAGAACATTTAGAAGGTTTTTCAATTTAATAAAGATTCAAAATTTTTAGAAAAATGGAAATTAAATTTAATAGTTATAACAATATTAGTGGGTTCTAGGTATAGCCGTTTTTAGTAAATTAAATATTTCAGTCAAAATATTGAAGAATTACTGTCATATTAACTTTTAAAATCATTTTTGAATATTTCCATTCCAGCACTTGGTGGACTGGTCGAAGGCAATGTTACCACAGATCGCCAACATAACTGAGTGCTACGATGAGTGGGTGCACAAGCCGGTAGACAGGCCCCTGCGACTCTTTGGTCCTTGGTATTTGGAGATGTGCACGAAGACGCCGTGGTGGTTGGTCCCCCTGTTCTGGATACCGGTGATCATCCGATGTGCGTCGGAGGACTTCGCCAGCAGCTGGCAGGATAGGAGTCAGGTGGGCATCCCTTGAATCATAAAGCCCTCGGAACAAGCCCTTCTAACTTTACCATCATCTTTCAGCTTGCATCGTTCGTCGGATACTTTTTGTTTGGTATTCTCCTGTGGTCATTCCTGGAGTACTCACTCCACCGCTGGGTGTTCCACGTGAAACTTAACAGCAACAGCGGAAGTTGGATATGCACCTTCCACTTCATGATCCACGGACTTCACCACAAGGTGCCCTTTGATCCAATGAGGTTGGTGTTCCCTCCTCTTCCGGGTGCATTGCTCGCCACGATCATATACACGCCGCTCAGCTTCGTCCTCTTGAGCCCGCGAGTGGTCCTTTCTGGAGCTTTGACCGGATATTTGTGCTACGACATGATCCACTACTACCTGCATTACGGAAATCCCACTACTCGAGCCTTTGTGCACTTGAAGCGATATCACCAGCACCACCACTTCTCGCACCAAACCCTCGGATACGGAATCAGCAGTCCGCTGTGGGATGTCGTCTTCAAAACGAGAATACATCTTCGCAAGCTGAGATACCAACTGCGCTGGTCCTAGCCACAACCAAAAGCTTTCACACAGTGCTACTATAGAACAAATTAAACTCAGTTTTTAATGCAACAGAGTTTCACACGGAGCAACAAATTCAATTTAATCCATTCGATTTTCTAGAGCTTTGTTTAGGCTACATACTGAGTAATAGCCTATTACTAATAGGATTAAGAATAACTTGTAAGTCTTTTACTGATTTTTATTTAAAAGGAATAAACTTCCAATGATACCAAAGAACAAATTGACTATCCCTTCTGCTTACTAAATATATCTTAATATAATTAATATATATCTTAAATTCTGAAGTGTGGTTGGGCCCCGGTATCATTATTTCGATATAGCCTTACTAAAATGTATATCTTAAATTCTGAAGTATGGTTGGGCCTAGTGTCATTATTTCAATATAGCCATGCTAAGAAATAAAAAAATTTCACTGAAACAGTGGAAGTACGATCAATGATTATAAGTTTTAAAATTTATGTTATTTCGATTGTACACTATAATTCCAGACCACTGATAAAATTAAAAACTTTTTATTGAAACCGAATAAAACGTCGCAAGTTTTATGGGTATATGTTTAAAGATAAATATGTATGTAATGTAAATTTTTCAATCACTCTTATGGCCGATATATTATTAAATCTCGAGTTATATGAAACGGCCTAATATATAATACTTCTTAATAATCTTACTACTGTGTATGGTTTTAAAATGAAAATTGGAATGAAGAGATGTATATAATTTTTTTAAATACATCGTGGTATTCTGAAAACTCTGGATAAATGTGAGATGGCTTGCTTATATTTCATAACTATTTTCTATTAAGTTAAAGATGGCAAAATATTAATTAAAATCTCGAAACCCAATTCAAATTACGCGGGTTTTTGTTGCAATCGAAATCACTTGCGAAAATCAACAATATATCGATTGTGACGCCTGGTCACACTAGCAAATCCTCCAAAAGAAAGTTTTGTTTATTTTTTGTAGGCCCCATTTCTCCTGCTGGAATTATGCTAAATGCCAAGATTGGCAAGGTCGGCAAGGTGCTGGTGTGCGGGATGAAGGGCGTGGGCAAGACGGCGCTGATTGAGCAGTTGGTCTACGGCCACGTCAATCCGGAAACGGTGAGTGGGCGTCTCCAATGATAACTAGTGGCTCGTCATCATCCAGAATTTATTGCAGGAACTGCACCCAACCATTGAGGATATCTACGTGGCCAGTGTGGACACGGGCAGAGGTGGAGCTCGGGAGACGCTGCGCATCTACGACACTGCTGGTCTGCAGGGTGAGCAGCAGCAGCTGCCACGCCACTACCTCCAGTTCCCAGACGCCTTTGTCCTGGTCTACGATCCCATGGATCCGCGCAGCCTGGACATGCTGGCCGACATCAAGACGGACATCGAGAAGCACAAGGAGAAAAAGGAGATTCCCGTCGTGGTGCTAGCCAACGTGCGGGCTCGTGCCGCGCCTAATCCGGTCGAGAAGGTCATGGACCGCGCCAACATCTGGTGCCAGCGGGAGCGCATCAAGCACTACACGGTGAATGCCATGGAGCGGCCTTCCCTCTACGAACCCTTCACCTCGCTGTGCGCCCGTCTGCATCCCGCGCAGACGAAGAGCACTTTCCCCCAGTTGCGGCAGGTCATGCAGAATCGGCAGAAGAGCGAGGCATGATGACCTGATGACCACGAAGTTTTAGTCTAGTTTTATTTTATTAAGGGGGGTCCCAGAAACCTCTGAGAATTTTAAAAAATGCACTGAAGTATCAGTGCCTTTGCATGTTTAGACCTTTTGCTCAAAGTGCTCCAGAGGATTAGGAGGTTTCTCGGACACCCAACCGTACTCATATGAATCAGTTTAGTGTCTACTTGCCTTGTGTCTACCGCTGAGCTTTAATTAGGGCCAGAGCCCGAGCCACTTGTACTTATGTCTATCTGTTTGTGACTGTTCAATTGTATCTAGTATTTATTGTATCTAAATGTCTCATCTCATGGGCAGAGAATTAAGCGTAATCAGTATTCAATGTTCAATCGCACCTCAAACGACGGCGTAGTGATTAAGTAACCTTACCGAATTTCTTTTCTGCGGAAATCCCCTTGAATCAGTCGTCTGCCAGCCCCCTTCTAGTGAGCAATGTTTCACCGCGCCGCCTTTCTTGCTGCTCTTGCGCTAATCTGTGCCAGCCATTTGGCTGTGGGTTTGAGCATAACAGTGCCTGGAACGAAGTGGTGCGGTCCCGGCAACATAGCCACCAGCTATGACGATCTCGGCACTGAGCGGGAGGTGGACATGTGCTGTCGGGCGCACGACAACTGTGAGGAGAAGATTGCGCCGCAAGAAGAAGCCTTTGGTCTGCGGAACGACGGAGTTTTCCCCATGTAAGAGTGAATCACTTGGTTAAGGGCTTGGCTCAACAAGCGTGCAATCCCCGCAGATTCTCCTGTGCCTGCGAGGCTGCCTTTCGCAGCTGTCTCACCGCCCTGCGCAACGGGCACTCCCTGACTCTCGGCAAGATTTACTTCAGTACCAAGGATGTCTGCTTTGGCTACGGACACCCCATCGTTTCCTGCCGGGAGAAGCAGGCGGATCTGTTCGAGACGCGATGTCTCAGCTACCGAGTGGACGAAGGTCAGCCGCAGCGATGGCAGTTCTACGACTTGGCACTCTACACACACGTCAGCGGCAGTGAGGAGGACTCCTGAGATTGAGCTTTGACATCCGGCGATAACCCCTTGATTGTTTACAAACGATTGTACTGAAATGGAAGCTGATCATGATTAGGATTATGAAGGTGGGAGTAATGTGTGATCAATTTGTAAAAATATATGTATGTTCTTGTTTGTCTGGCCTGAAAATACTTATAAAAACACTACTTGTGAACATTTTCTGTTCGTCTTTTTAAAACACTAGGTCAAAAAAAAACGTTGGGATTGGTTAATGTACGGTCCTTATATCAAAGCCTTAAAAAATAAAATAACACTGGCCTTTAAATATATTTGTTTTGTGTTTATGTATGTTTTTAAAATCAGATTCAAGTGCGATTCCCAAAGTCTTGCGAAATTTCTACAAATCTTCGTTTTGGGGTCAACCCGTCGACGCTGGGATCGTGAAGAACGGCATGTCGTAGAACTGCCAAACCTTGGCCTTCGTCTTGTCCACCTTATACCGGATGCAGCGCTTTCGGAAGGTTCCCTCCTGGTATTGCTTGCACTCGATGGTGGGATATCCGTTGTCGAAACATTTGCTCCGGCTGCCATAGTAAATCCGACCAAGTGTGTTGGAGGTGAGGCTGTTCACCGCCTGCAGGCAATTGATAAACTGCTGCTCGCAGGTGCACTTGAGGCTAAATCGGATGGCGATAGTCAATGTGCACAAAATCGATAAAGGATTTCATGGGAGACTCCACTTACATGGGAAACCAGTCAGTGTTGGCCGGCAGACGGTGGAGTACAGCATGGGGCTCGATAATCTCGTCGCAGTGGTCGTGAGCCCGACAGCACTTGTCCGTCTCCCGCTCCCGGCCAAGATCCTCAAAGTTGGCCGCCGTGTTTCCCGGTCCGCACCATTTGGTACCGGGCAACGTGATGCCTGTGTGGGGAACTGGTGGTAGCGCCTGGTTGTAGATGTCCTCGTCCTCGAAAATTGCTTCATCTCCAAAGGCCAATGCAACGGCCAGAAGGCCACAAAAGAACAATCCGCGTAGCAGCCACATGTCGAAACTTCGGCAGTCGCAATACAACTGTTTGAATTTGTAAATTTCAGTCGCTTATACACCGGTTGATAAGGGCGGCCAAAAATAAATATAACAATTTACCTCACTTATTCTAAAATTACACACCTATACATTGAACATATACGTAAATGCTCTAACTAGCAAAAATTGAACTACAAAATAACTCATTTTCGACCCAAGGTAAGCTTTAACAATATTTTATATACGGTTTATTAGGATAAAAAGTCTAGATACTAGCTAAGTATATCCTTAAAAGCGTCGGTGGCTGTCTTGGCCTTTTTCCGCTTCTCCTCCTTTGGCTGCTCTGCGTCCAGATGCTTGGACAAACTCTCCTGCCACTGGCTGGGTGAAAGCTTATATGTGTCCAGGCGGTACTTTGTGTAGATGATCCGACCGTGCGGCGAACCCTTCAGCATATTCGCCTTGGAGAAAAGTTCCTTGGCCATGCGCAGCTTTTGCGCCTCTTGAGATGCCTTAAAGCACTCTTCGAAGACGCGGGAACCATGCCGCGTGATGGCCAAGTCCACGTAGAAGCCATCCAGCTGGCGGATTAAACGCTCTCGGGATTTCTCGCCAATGAACTTGCTCTGCATGAAGGCGTCCACGATGTGTGAGCCATTGGGCGTGTTAAAGACCTGAGCCAGCTGGGTGGCGGGCAGATCGAGGATGCAGTTAACCAGAAAGATGGGTTTGTTAAACTGCAGGACGTGTTGAGCAATAAGCGAACCGTGCAGATGAACGAAACCCGACTCATCGCTGCCAACCACTTCAAAAGGCTTTAGCTTGACCAAGCAGTTAAAGAATAGCTTGGACTTTTCCTTGTCGCCGCTGACGTGAAGAGCACTCTGCAGAGCAGCTATCATCTGAGCCTGCTTGGTGCCCAGTCGTAGACAGGCTGCACTCAGAGCGGACACCACGCCGGTGTATCCCATTTTAAGGAGCTCCTCCACGTGCGGCTGAAGTTCGGTGAAGACGGACTCGAAGTCCGGGACCTCCTTGATGTGCTGCAGAAGACGCTGGACGGAAAAGTTTGTTCCTTGTTGCTTGGATAGGTAACCGATGCGGTTGCAGAAGAGCATAGCATACAGTTGGGTCAGCAATTTGGCTCCTGCCACGCTCAAAATTGTTTCTAACAGAATGACAGAGGTCTGATGGTGGAAGACTTTTGGTAAGTTGGGATCTGTTTGCTTCTTTTCAGTTTCTTCCTCCGTCTCTTTTGCCTCTCCATCCTCTTCGTCCTTGATTTCGATTTTGGTGTCCTCGTCCTTTTTCTCCTCGTCATCATCGTTTGGTTTCAGCAGGCCGATCGTTAGGATTTTCTTGGCAAAATGCTTGAGCATACTTTTGTCCGCCACACTTAGGGCTAAACAGATGACACCCAGCAGGCTGGAGGAGTGCTCCTGATAGGGGAAGTCCGTAAACTGGGGCCACATCTCCAGTCGCTGGGGAAACTCCTTCATCACCTCCTGCCACTCATCCGGCACTGTATACAGCTTTCGGTGCTTGGCCATCTCGGTGCCCCCCTTCTCGAAGGCGATTTTGGGAACATGCATGCCCACCAGGCACAGGATGGCAGTGCGCATGATGTGACTGGCGCAGGTGTCCCAAACAAAGTCCTCCAGATTGTTCAGCATGAACTTCGAGATGCGCAGCACGAACTGCCGGCATTTCTCGCGGTGATCTTCGCTGAAGTCCGCCTTCAAGTTGTACTCCTCCTCGACTTGAGCGGCATCCGGCTTGGCCTGCTTGCTGGGAGTAGCTGCATCGGTGGTTTCCACGATGGCTGACTTGCCCACTCCGCGCAGGAAGGCAATCTCGAGCATTTTCTGCAGGACGTGTGAGGCGAACCGATCGGAGCACAGGGGCCGCAGGCCTTCGCCGAACTTGCTGAAGAACCGCTCTAACTGGATGTCGTCCACAAATCCCACCAGCGACTCTAGCGCCTTGGAAACGATCTGATTGGAGGCCAGGTGGATCTCCTGATCGTGGGTCTGCTCAAACACATTGTTGGCCATGTTGACTGGGGGAATGGATGGTTGGGATAAGTTAAGGAGATGGTTAGGAGGCAATCACCACCACTCACCTCGCTCCTCCACGTCCTCGAATCCCACTTTCATGGCGTCCAGAATGTTGATGAAATAGCTGAACTGCTCATCGTCGATGTGTGTGCCCCGGCCGAATATGCCCTGCTTGGCGAATCCCTTGGCGTTTCGCATGAAGCGGTTGCCTTTCTTCTTGGGCCGCTTGCGTTTCGTATTGCCATCTGACTGCATTCTGTTATAAAATTTAAAATTAAATTTATTTACTTCAACGTGCGCCAGAACACGCTGTATAAAATATACCAATTGTTCATGGAAATATACCAATTGCACAAAAGGCGGCGGTCATACTGCACACAAGTATATCGTTTTATTTTGCCGATGAATCGATATGTTACCCGTTTGGCGGTCAAATTTGAAACTGCTCTTCATGAACTTTTGAAAAGTTTTGAAAATTTTTCTACATTTTACTTTAAGCCCGTTTTATGTGCATCTTGGAAAACTTTGATTTAATATAGTTGTAAAGTGTGAGCCATTATAGAAATAGGATAATTAATTAAATACTTTTATCAAGTACTTAAAAATAACAGATACCGGCGTCTAATTAACTTTTTAGAACGGCTCAAAAATATTGTTTTGTTATTGATTAAGCATGCGCGGATCCACGGGGGGATATGGGAGATAGATCACCCCACTTGGTTTATGTTGTATGCATATTATTCAAAATTTTTGATTTCTACGTAATCCATTTGGTTCACAAATGTAGACGTCTTTTTATGGATTTTAGTAAAATAGTTTTTAAAAAATGTGATTCAAATTATTTAACGAAGTTAACTGTTACTGACAGCACGTTTTTCGCATAAACTTTACAATTGATTACAAGAGGATATGGTTCTAGGAAAAACGAAGCAGCTTTAATAAAAAGTTTTAAATTTTAATTTAAGAGTTAATTTTTAATTTAAGATATTTAAAAAATATATTTTTTATAGTAAACACCGTAAGTTGATTTAAAATAGAAGTACACATTGTGCCATTCTCTTTAATGGTAACGCCCCTGAACATTCAGGTTTGCCAATCTGTCATTGGCGTGAAAACTGTCAAAAGGGCATTGACAGCACAAGGATTAAGAAATAATAATGGGAGAACAAAAAACACTCATTTGCAGTTGGCAATGTGTCCTGTTAAGCCTTTGTAAGGCGTTTCGCAGGTTTCCTTTAAGCTGAAGAACATTACAATTGTATTTGAAAACCATTTAAGATGAATCTCCTTATGCATTCTGTTTTCCAAGAAGAGAAACATACATTTTTCCCACATGTTAATGAAAGGTGAAAATTACAATCCCCTCATTAAATTCTGGTGGTGCACAAGGAGCAACACTTTACAGTCGTTGATTTAATTATCGACAAAAGCCGCCGCCGGATAAAAGAAGTCAAAATATTTTGTAACCAGAGATGTGCCATCAATCTCGCCCAGACACGTGTGCGATGCCCTCCTCCTCCTCCTCCTTCTCCTCCGCCTGGCAACGCCAGAATCCCCAGGATATGGGGGTGGTTACGTCTGCGGAGAGTGTAACTACAGTATCAATAAACAAATCAAAGAGCAGCCGCCCCCGGCCAGCCAGTCAACCAGTCAGACAGCATCCACCCCCGGCAATTCTGCGCATCCTCCTGGTCTGGGGTTGCCAAGCACCGCCCCGTTGCCAAGTGCTGCTCGAACCTGGCCACCGAAGCACTCATTACAGGGGACGCGACACGATGCAAGTCCTGAGTCCACAATCCCGAGTTTTCAATCCGGAATCCTGAGAGGGGAAAGGACGCGTGTTGGGAAAGCGGAACGCACGCGCCGACGCCGTCCATTAGACATGGCCATTAGCATTGGCGGGCTTACCTGTCGCCGCGGATTAGTGCTGCCGGCCCACTCGCATTGTTGCATTGTTGTGGTCAGCCGATGCTAATGGGCCGGGCAGGCGTTATCCCTTTCTGATATTTTACAGGTACTTCCCTCTCCTAGGGCGTGGGAAAAAAAGGAACTCAAGAGTCTACTGACATTGTTTTATCAGCTCTCCAGTTTATGGTTATTTGAGTATTCAAGGTTAACAAATTGATAAATCATTACATAAGTAGAACCTTAAGTTAGAATGACAAGGTCGTAGCCAGGACTTTTGTCATGGGGAGGCCGATCAGTACCTACTATTTGGAATCATTATATATATAAGCCATGTATTTAAAAGATTTTTCAAAGCTCCATTGATTTTTCGCTATCGCAAAACAATGCCTCGCTTAACTTTTAGGTATAAGAATATATTTTAAGTTTTCATATTTGATCAATTCCAGGCAGTTTTTTAAATACATTCCTTACTTTGATCACTGATCAACACTACCAATAATCTCACTTACCGAAATCCCGCAATTGCAGTTCCAAAATTAATTTCGTTTCGTTGGCAAATGCATTTGAAAATAATTTAATAGAATTTATTTTTAACAAAAATAGAATTACTAGAGACTACAATTAAAAGTGTATAATTTATGCATGTACGTAGGTTTATATATATATAATTTTTGCACGTTTCGATTTGATTTGCATTTCGGTTGGCCGTCCAACCGTACTAAAACTAAAGCCTAGCTATTTACACAGATCGATGCAGTAATCATAGTTTTAAGTGTTTTCTTCTGGAGTTTTACCAAAAGCTGTCTCTCCATTTCTATTTTCTCTCTATCTCTCGTTGCGGAAAATGCCAAGTTATCCAGAAGGTGTGGTAGTTTATGATTGCATATCGGTTATTTGCTGAATGGCTATCTTAACTGAAACTACCATTGGCATAGATTTATATTTAGCTATCAAAAGGGGAATTTTACTTTATACTAATATTCTCTAACAGTTTTTAGCATGGTATGGAAAAACCAGAACTTTACACTTTTATGGCTTCTTTTGAGTGGATAAGAGCTGTAAAATTGTAGATTTCCTCCAGCCTTTGTAAAGTTTCAGTCATGATAGCCTTTCAGTAATTGAGCGATATGTAAAGTTTGTGTTGCTATGCTGATGGATTGCGGTATTTCCGATATTGCTGCGTAACTATCCTCAGAAGTAGAAGCTCTCGGACTGCTGGTGTTGCTGGTGGCGCTGTCGCTGCTGCCAGGCGATGTTGCTGCCGCTGCCGCTGCCGCTGGCGGTGACCCCTCCGCTGACCCCGCCACTGCCCCCGGCGGCAGCAGCCGCCTCCAACTAGAATCATAAGTGCTGGTACTCGCCCATGTCGTACATGGCGGTCATGGGCATGGCCCCCATCACGCTGTGCAGGTGCGAGTAGGCCACGGCGGCGGTGAGGGGGGGCATTTGCATTTGTGCAGCGGCCGCTGCACTCACCCCCCCTCCGCCGCCGCCGCCGCCGACGCCACTGCCCCCTTTGCTGGCGACACTGCTGATGTTGCTGGCGGGATGTTGTTGGTGTGGGTGGTGTTGCAGGCTCTGCTCGGCGGCAACATGCTGCAGTTGCTGCTGGTGCAGCCCGTTGTTGTTGTTGCCGCTGCTGTTGCCGGGGGAGTGTTGCTGCTGTTGCTGCTGCTGCTGCTGTGCACTTTGACTGGGCAGCATGCTGCCCTCCATCTCCGAATCGCTGGAGGAGTCCAGGTGCTGCTTGTCCGTGGAGCCGCTGCAATTGAAATGGAGGAATAAAGATGTTAGAGCTTTCCGATTTTTACAAATCTAAGAACTAAATATAAAAATTTTAAGATATTGTTCCATTTAAGTTTACTACCGTCCACGTTTACCGAAAACGAAATATAACGGTCTATGTATTATGTTGGCATTTATGATCCGATCGTTTCTATGGCAGCTATATGATAAAGCCATCCGATTTTGATAAAATTAAATTCTAAATTCAGAACTAATTAAAAAATGTTATTTCAAAGCGTAGGAGTTTATATGTTTTATATGACAGAGGGGCAGACGGACATGGCTAGATCGACTTGTCTAGTGATGCTGATCAAGAATATATATACTTTATGGGGTCGGAAACGTCTCCTTGCGTCTCCCTGCGTTGCGAACTTCTGACTGAAATCATAATACCCTCTACAAGGGTATAAATATTAAAATGGCGAACAAATAATTGATCAAAGGCAATGATCTTACAACAAATCACTTCATTACTACTACTACACCCCAAAAAAAACAAAATGTTAAGATATATGAGTTTCAAGATTTAATATTACAAAGTCCTTACTTTACAGTTTCATTTCTATGTTAAAGAGTCTTGAATTTGGATTTGTGCATTCTTTTTAAACCAATTGATTTCAATTTAATATTTTGGAAAGTGTTCATTGAACACTAATTTTATCGACGGAAAATTTATACTCAATAGTGCAGAATTAACGTAGACCTTAGATGCTTTCTATGACTACATTTTTTCGGTGAAGTTTTACCATTAAATAGAAACCCAAGAAACCGAAAAGATACATAGACTACTAATTTCATAGTACTTAGTATACTATTATTTAAAGTTTCATAACTAACCGCTTTGATCAATTCGACCTAGAAAATGTTTTGTGTTTATAGATGGTGTTCTAGCATTCGAGCTTATTTGGCAATTATATTTTTGGTCAACATTGCTACTAATTTCCGACTTTTAAAGTCTTAAGTACTTAAATCATGGACATTTCGAAATTGACAATATAAAACTATGAATGGACAAACAATTGTGCAGATACTAATTTCTTATTATTTTAAAATGTAATATTTATTGTTAAAAAAATTAAATCGAAACTAAAAACAATATAAGTAATTTTACAGGATTATATAATTTCGGTAATAAATAAATAAATGTATAAAAGCTTCAGTATAACAGTGCAATAAAACAGAGCGACCAATATGGCTGATCATCTCTCTTAAAATGGTTAAAAATAAATGGAAACGCCTGTTCTAACCCTCTGCAATCCCTCGTTAAAACTGTGACCCCAAGCATATGCCTTTGGATGTCAGCACGGCTTACGTTAAAATGTGTCAATTGCTGCATCTAATTTACGGCTGTCAACACACCCACACACTCGCACATGGAGCGCATAATTTATTTATAAACAAATGACAAATTACAGATGACAGGGGGCACAGCAATTGCAATTGAAATGAATTCCGGAAGGAAATCGTCTGCCTCTCGCGTTTCTATAAATGGTATCATGTTCGCCTTTGAGGTGTTGGTCGCCCCATGGACTCTAAAGAGGAGGAAGTGAGAGGGATATAGATGGCGGGAGCAGGACAGCATGCTCTCCCCAGAGCATTCGGATATGAAGCATCTGATTTCACTTCACTTTCCATGGGTTCAAGTGGGTGCGACTATTGTTTCGGGGGTGTCGCACAGCCCATTCCGTTGCCATCTTAAGCAGCTTGACTTTTATTATTTGTGGCTGATTCCGCAAATGGCAATCGAAAGTCACTTTAGTACCACAGTCAACCGCTCTTTGGGGTTAATGTGAGACGTCCCCTGGGGGATGGAATCACCCGTTAATGGCTTAATGGCTAATACCCGGCCATAACAAGCCTGAAACTCGAGCAATCATCGGCAAAGTGTTAATCTTGTCGCCAATTGCATGGTCGAGCACAATCAGTAATCGGTTATCAGCAGCCGCATCGCAGAACCAGTTTGCAAAAAAATTGATGACAGCACTGGGGAACATCAACAAACAACATGGGGCAACGGCAGGAATCTTCTTATTAAAGTCTGAATACCCTTGTTACGAGTTGGAAATCTTGGAAAATAGATCTTACATTCAAGGGCCACCCTTGTCAGGAATAACAAATATAAAAGTTGAATATAAATTCCCAGAAACCTAATTCTTCTTGTCTCCTAATAGGTACACGTTAATAACTGATGTATTTGTCTTGGTTCTATACTTATAGTGCATATCATATGATTTTAAAATTACAAGATTACAAAAAAAACGGTTAGCTTAAAGCTTTTACGAAACAAAAACAAACAATAGGCTTAAGGGTACCAGATTTACCACTATATCATATCGTTTAAATCTAAATGACATTAGGTTATTCGTTAAAACTCTGTACTGATCCCCTATGTATTTATATTGAACAAGCTGAATTGGATAAAGATACTTATAATTTAATACTCATGATTAAAAAACAGCTTGGAAAAAAGTTTCCTTATGCGTTTTGAGATACTTCTTATAATACTTGATAGGCACTTGAGAGCTAATGATTACATTTAAGCACAAAACTTGACTTTAAGTGCTACATGTGTTGCATAAAAGGGATTAAGTCGGATTCAACAAATTCATTTAGTCAGCGGAGGAAACCGGATAACCGAGGGTATGAGAATCGAAACCGGCAATGCAAAACATTTAAGCGCACACTCGACAAATTTGCGATCGGGCGCAATGGGACAGAGACAGAGGACAGGACCGATTCCGATCCCGGCAGATACACCTCCCAGCTATTTGCTGACTCCACTTCCCCAGCTGCCGCGGATTCCGATCGGGCTTGGGTACAGAGCCAAGACCCAAGACCGAAGAGCCAGTGGTTCTGGGGGCCCACATATGGCGCAGCTGTACGATATCGGCAATCATGTAATTGTAGATCGTATCCCGCGAGTGGCAGCCACCAACGGCGATGTCATGCCATTATTTCTTGCAGCGTTTGCATGAACTTGAACTTGGACCACTGATCATCGCGGGGTGGGCGTACGGGCCATATGACATTTAAATTTGATGGACACATGGACACTACTCCCCCAATTTTCCGATTTCAGGGCTGTTGCTGTGGACATTAAAGTAACGCTCGTTGTGGGCAAAATTCGATGGCCTAAGCACACCAAACATGAGAAAAGGCCCATCCCATCCGAGAGCGAAAAGTGGGGAGCAAACAAAAGGCAGCAGAAGCATATAAACAATGATATCGAATTACCAGAGTTTCGTAGTTTCCCTTCTCTCGGGGCTCTGCAACACTTATTAACACACACACAGACAGACAGCGCCCACTTTTGTGGGCATGTCCTACCCATTCCCCCCAATACATTTCCAGTGATTGCATTATAAACACAAATGCCTCAGTTCTCTTCGGTTTTCCTATATCGAACGGGAGCAGAGAGTCTCAAGGACAGTTCCCTGGGCCAGAAGTGAATGTCACATAAAGTTTATAACAAAATTGAACCAGAACCGCAGAAGAAGAAGCAGGTTTTGGGTCTCCAGCTCTGTGTGTGGTCCCCCTGAATAAAGGTTCTTCGGGCTTTTCTTTCCCTGCTTCTCTCTTTTTTTTTGATTTTGGGGTCTGTACCCACTGAGGGGGAATTAATTTTTTACATGTTTGCTCAATTGATTTTTTGTAGCCACAGACATTTCGGCCAGAGTCTGTCTTAAGCAGATTCATTAGCTTGGTAATAATGCATGATCGGATTATGTTTAACTGGAAACGGTGAGGGGTAATTTGGAAAGGGAGGGGGGTTTTGGTCCACAAACAAGTTTGCCACGTGAGTGAGTTGTTGGGGTTTCCAAATGCAAAGGGTCTGAAGTGGAGTAGAAAAGTTTGGAGTCTTCTCTGAGATATGATGTAATATCATGTAAATCAAACTTGAATTTAATAATTAAACTGATAGTGTCATTATTTCCCATGACATAACTCCACGATTTTCACACGAAAGAGAGGAGAAGCTGTCCTGGGCCTTCCGAGGAATTCCATTGCTAATAAAAATTATAAGCCAATAAATCCTAAAAAAACAAACAAACGGGCCTGACCCAGGCTCGGGCCCTGAAAAACGTGGCTCAGGGAGATCGGGAAGATCGAGGCGATCGGCCGAGAGCGAACGAACAGGTTGAGTTATCGCATTGCGCGATCGGTACACAAATCTCGGGACGTGTGCTCAGCAGGACACCCAACTAAACGGGCAACGGCGATCCATAAGTGGAATCTGAAAAGGTGTTGATCATAAATTATCATTTAATTTACGCATGTGTGTGGCTGTTGTTAATGTTCGTGGCGACCCTCTGACACTCAAAAAAGGCTGAGGATCAGATGGGGGGACTACGACTACGGCTGCGACTAAGACTTAGACCACCTCACCTGGGGCTTGGGGACTTCGTTTTCATTTTCATTTTCGTCTAGCCGTCGTCTGCCCGGGCATTGTGCCATTGTCTACAACTATGTAAGATCCCAAAGATTAACCCAAAGTCCGAGACCAGCGCTGTCATCGTTATAAGATATTTTATTATCAGTCCGCTGAACTGGACGTTCCAAAGTCGAAGGTGGAAGTACAAACGTACCTGTGTCCGAAGCATGTGTGGCGTGTGGAGCATTTTATGCTGGCCGAGGATTGTTTTGACAGTTTTTTATAATTTTGTGGCCTTTTAATTGCCCAACCCGAGGCGGATCAGATGGTACCTGAGGAGAATAATCGAGTCTCCAGCCCCCCGCTGACTAACCAAACTTTTATGTAATCCCCAAGTCTTTTCAGCACTTTAAGGCTTAGGGTGTTTGGTGGGAGTACCTAGGGGAAGCCGTAGAAAACCTTTGCTGGGGTCAAGTTGGAGGAGAAGCTGAGCCGCAGAAACAAAACAAATCTTTTTACACTTTTTAACCACTAGATTACCCATTCTTAAATATTAAGTGACTACGGTAAGATTTGTATCCAATGGAATCGAGAGTGTGTGATAA